TTGGAAAGACCAGGTGGAGAAGGACTTGGCTTCACTTGGCATTTTCAATTGGCGTCAGTTAGCACAGAAGAAAAATGACTGGCGTGCTGTTTTGGACTCGGCCAAAATCGCTTAGGCGGTTACAGCGCCTAATAAGAAGAAGAAGAAGTACTCGTTTATTTTTGAACCGTAAACTGAACTTCAAATCTATATAAAAAGCAAATTGGAACCAACTTTTACAAATGCTTTGGTATTTATTCATATATTTTACCTCTTTTAATGAATGCAATTGGTCTCATTCTCATCACTTTTTGCGTGTTGCACTGTGTTCGTATGTATAAAATTTAAAAGGCCATTGCTACAGACGAAACCAACTGAAATTTTGACCTGACAATTTTGATACTTATTGCTTTTATTAGGGTGTCGCTACCTCTAAAAACTATATGTCGGAAATCTATCTAGTATGTATAGCTTTTGCGTTTTTTGAATTATCATTATTCTTAAGTGAAAACATAAAACTCAATATTAATTATCTTTGAGCAAAAAAAATAAAAAATTAAAAATTATTATTTTTATGACGATTGAAAAGAGAATTTTGTGAGTTTATGTAATAAGTCGGTAATACGACCAAAAGATAGAGCATCCTTGATTGGTAATCCTCATTTTTCGATTTCCAATAAAAACATATTTACTCATTTGAAAAGTCCAAGATGGGTGGAATTTCGAAGGTCAAAAAAGAAATTTCCGAGAAAAAAGTTTCAAACAAAAGATACGTATTTTTATGCTCAGAATCTGATTCTCTACTAAAAACGTGTATGTTCAATTTAAAAAAAACGCACTACCGGTCAGTTTAACCCATCTTCCATCGAAACTGGAAGTCGGTAATACCACCAAAAGATAGACCATTTCTATTGGGGTTTTTAACCGACTTCCAAAAAAAGGAGGAGGTTATCAGTTCGTCGGAATATTTTTTTTTTTTTTTTTTTTTTTTTTTTTTTTGATGTNGGTGGTCCCATACTAATCTGGTTAAGATCTGATCAGTGGATCATGAGATATATATATATTTTTTTTTTTATATGAGAGTTGAAGTCGGTTTTTTTTTTGCTAAAAATTACTTGTTAATAAAAAGCATTTCCCTCTATTTAAGAGACACGCTTTATATAACAAAACTTAATCAAAATAAATACAGTTATTACCTTAAAAATTTGTATTTGCCGACCTTCCTAAAATATATATATTATACCACTGTATAAATAATTGATGCCCAAAATAATATTTGAATTTCATAAACAGCTCTAGTAATTTACATTTTTTTTAAAGCAACGAGTAATTGCAAGAACGCTAGCTCTGACACTTTTCACTTCCATTCACTTTATCTTTTCTACATATCGTCATCTGAAATGCAAAAAGACGTCACAACATCGTAAATTAAATGGAAAAAGCCGTGACTAATATTTTAATTTTTTTTTCATAAAATGATGTGGGGAGTTGTAATTCGATGAAATCCATTATATAAATCAAAAAGTAAATTTGGAATTTTTTATTACATAGTTATGACTTAAGCCATTTCAACGATGATGTTTCTTACGTCTTTTGGTATATCAGGCGACGGAATGTATTGTATGCAGTGTATTATAGACAGTTTATACAACGGTCTTTTTCGAAAATTATTAATTAATTAAATCCAAACACAACTTGCACCACTTGGAAATTTTTCGATACCGATAACTGTGCCGCGTGTGTTAGCTTGAAAAACGATGCTTCTATGGTGGCCATCAAGAAATGACAATGGCAAATTGTTATCACAAGTAAAAGAGACAACTTGTAATTTAAAATACAAGCATAAGCATTTAAAATGTGTGTGTAAGTGCATATGATAATATTGTTAAAAAGTTTTAAAAGAGAAACATTGAGCTTTTTGAAACTTTACTCAAAAGCTTTCAATCGACAATTGAAGCAGCACTGGGCCGTAGAGAAAAGTAAATTACTGCCACATACCTACTTCTTTAGTGATATGTACACTCAGCGCAGCTTAGAAGCGTAAAGCTCTTGTAGAACTCCTAAAAGTATGCAAAGGAAAAATCAGCCTTTCTTGGCATCTTATCCATTTACGATAGGCATACATGCATGCACATATGTATGTTCGTGCCACACTGCGGCACCACCCCGCAGCATTAACAAATTAGAGAACAAGCACCGTTTACCAATAACGTCAATTAGGATGCATTTAAGCTCAATTTAAATTCCTACAGCAAATCTTCCGTTATGCTAGTGAGCATTAGGTAAGCTGCAGGCGGTTGGCAGAACAATGGATTTTGGTGGCTGCTACTATGAGATGCAGATGTTGCCTTGACTGTGGCCGCGACTTAGGCCATGGCTGTTGTGGTGTTGCTGCTACTTGCACTATGATTGCATGCAACAATGCTGATGTCAACGACGGATAAGCATTTCCGGATACTGGCAATTTCCCAACGAATACGTATGTATGTATGTATGCATGTATGTACATACATAGTTCAACATACTTTGCACTGAGTCGAATGGGTATTTGAGCGAGAAGCAAAGTGCTGTGTCACAATAAAATGCCAATGAAGTAATTTTTATATTTGCATTGGTGCATTTGTGGCAAGCCATTCAACGCAGCAGATATGCAGAACAAATATCAGGCATTTTGTTTCTGAGAAAGCTTGAAAAATACTTCGAAAAGCGCTGCCAGAGTTTTTGTGGCTATTAAGGACTTCAAAGACACTAACTTAAAAAAAAATTTGCGTATGTTAATTAGGGTGGTTCAAAAAAAAGTATGCCATTTCCACAAATAACTTGCTTTTTCCCCACATGGACAACTTTGAGCGCTTTGAAGGACCTCTAAATTTATTATTTTTTTATTTCGAAATAGAAAAAACAGGGGTATGTTGTTTTCGATGTTGAACAATCCTAAGGGGTGTGAGCATTGAAATTCCGACCTTATTTTTTTATGTGCATTTTTGGACCACCATAATGTATAGGGAATGCATATACATATATTTATCGATATAATTAGCATTGTTGTTAACAAAAGATAATGTTGTATTTAAAGTTTCTTTATATTATGTTATCGATACTTTTATCGATTTTATTGTTGGTTTATATGCTATTTATCAAAACAAATGCATGCAATAATTTTGTAAACTTTTTTAATTCCTAAGTTTTCGATAAATTTTTTGAAAATTATAGCATTACTACTGTGATATACATATACACCTACCTAAAGTTAACAAGCATTATGGCTGATTTCCAATAATTTTAATGACAAAGTTGGGCATCAACAAATATTTGTGTCAGTACTTTGCAAACAGCAGCTATTAACTCTACATACATATTTCTGCTTAACATTTTTTAAAAGCACTAAAGACAATTTTCGATTTAAAAATAATTGTATGTTTTGCCTGTGTACACAAATTTCAACTATGTGCCTATTCTTCCGTATTACATACGAAGTTTTTCACTGGCGCATTCTATCCTTCTTCTCGTATTCCCTGAATCCCCAAAGACTCACAGGGTTCCAATAAATTTGTATATTATGCAAATTTTAGACATTTCGTTTGCCATTTCAAAGAAAGATCAGTGTAGTAAATCCTTCACTTGCCACACTGTTTTGTCAGCTGACAAATCGTACAGCAGCGCCGTTTGGCTGATCAAAGCGGTGCGCGCATCCATGCCACTTTGCAATTCTAAATCATGCTAAACATTGACCATATTTGGTGCCGCCAAATGTGCCATTTTGTGGCAGCTTCATCAGCGGTCAATAGTAGACAAACATGTGTATCTACATACATACAAACATACACACATAGAAATGCACATATAAATGTAAAAATGTAAAAAAATTCTAAATAGCTTCAACCGTGCAATAGAATATATGCAATGTACATAGAATGAAATGCTGCAGGTTGACATGCGCAGTGATGCTTTGCAACCGATCGACCGCAACCATTGAATTGTTAAACGTTGCATGTTGTTGCAGTTTAGGCCAGCATTTGTTGGACAAACGATTTGCCGCGCCAAATAGCCAAATGAAATTCAAATTGGATGCAACGAACATATAGCAAGTGACCGAAATGACTGAAAGAGCCTTAAGCCGACAATGTACGGAGGTACATACTGTTGGCAAAATGGCAACTTGGGACAATTGTTTGCTTGCTGACAGCAAGTGGCACATTGTATGCTGGTTGACCAAGTTTAAAATTGGTCAAGACACTTCAAAATCTATGTACGAAATTTCCTTCAAGCGTCAGTGAAATTGAAGGGAGAAGCAGGCAATTCACCGATATGCATGAGTAATTATGGAAATCTAGATGAAAAAAAAGAGAGGGAAATAAACGCGAGAAATAAACGCGAACAATACTTTCGAGAGCGTTTCTAAGAGAACAAAGTGGGCACAAAAGTCTCCGGGACGTTTTTGCAAAGAAACAAGCGTGAACAAAAGTCTAACGAACTTTCTCTCGAAGAACAGTTTGGGAACTAATATCTCAGGAACACTCTGATAGAAAATGAAATGAGAACAAGTCTTCTCTGAACTATTCGCGAAGAATGGTAGCACGAACACAATTTTTCTCATAGCGTCCATCAACTTGAAATACTGAAAGATAACTGTCAACACAAAGTTAACGAAAGACTTAAGACACGAACTGTTCTTCGACAGAAAATGAAAAAATGTTCCATAAATGGATAGTTCGCTCTAATGATAAGCGATCAGCAAGTTGAGATGATCGAGCTTATTTCTGGCTTAGAATTAACAATCGTAGTTTTCACTGAAACGCGGACGCCGCTCGCATTCTTAACGTTAAGTTCATAAAACTTTTGTTCTCGTGCAGAACTAAACCAAAACAGGAATGCATTCTTGATCCCTGGGAAATATAAATATTTAATAAGTAGTCGACTTCCAAGTCAGTTGGCGCGCGTTTTTTTATTGTATAGTTTGTTAGGTTTCATCATATTTATGTATGTACGTATTTATTTTGAGTTGATTGTTTTTGACTTACATCGATCCTTGAGTCGTGGAGTTGTTGGCGGTTGTATGTGCTTCAGTGTTTGTCCTTTTCGTATCGAGTCCATGAGTTGTTCGCGTGGCGATGGTGTGCGTTTGATGGGTGGCGGAAGTTTACGTTCGGATGCCTGAAATAACATATTATATTGATCAGTGACAGAGTAGAAGAAATAAATTAAGTGAAAGCTTTTATTGGCAAAATGGGTGCATACAAAAGAGGCAATGGAAATACGAAGTATTCCTACAACCTCGTTAAGAACCACAGGCTAAACTGTTACCTAAATGGCGAAAGAATAGTATAGACTGAGTTTCCGATAACCTTTGAGGAAAGGAAGAACTAATTTATAAACTTCTCTGTTGGGTTTTCAGAAAAATTTGTAGCTGAAGTGGGGAGATGAAATAGTTAGCGGCAGAAGAGGCATGCGAATTTTTACAGCTGCAGGTTGTTTTTCTTTCTCCAACTATCCAACATTCATGCATAAACATGTGACTTTAGAGAGTTTATTAATTTCCAGAAACAATTCTGTAAGCATATGCGGTTCTTTCGGATTTTCTTGAAGCCGAAGACTAACTAGTTACACAGTACAACACTCTAAAAGTAATGGAAATGATCAATTGCATTCATCAAAAGAGGTCAAAATATGAATAAATACCAAAGAATTTGTAAAAGTTGGTCCCACTTCCATTTTATATCGATTAGAAGTTAGTGGTAGAACGATGGCTGAGACAAACGAATATCAAGCTTTATTTTTCAACCTATTAGTGGCGCACAGCAACAGCTTTTGTTGAGATGGTACAAAAGCCTAATCTCCTAGGACCTAGGTGAATCAGAAGTCAATGCTTTCACTTTAAAAAGCCGATTAAGTAATGCTAAGGCCCAGAAGTGAAGTAGATCGATTACACTGTGGAACACAAAAAAAAAAATAATAGGGCACATATATATCTAGTTTGATAGCTGTTGGTTATACGAACAATGCCTCATACTCAGATTTAATAGATCAATTCGTCTTCTCAAGGAAAAAAGTTTCAGAACCAGATTTACTCAGATTTTTGGAATATGAAAATTTGTTTTTCTGGAGAACGCGAATTGATCTCCATAGTAAAACTGAGTATGAGGCATTGTTCATATGGCAAACAGCTATCAAACCTAATATACAGATGCGCACTGTAGGTTTTTTAAAAGTTCATTTTTGTTCCCCAGTGTTATAGACAGACCTAAACTAACATCCTTCAGGGGTTAAATAACACCTCCCTTAGCTCCCGAACCAAAACGACGTATATTGACGAAATATGTTTATCTATATATATAAGTAAATATAGCTATAAAATACAAATTATGTATGTATGTGTGTACATATGTCCGCAGCTCCGTCCTAAACTGTTTGTCCGATGACAACCAATTCTTTCACACCTATTGCAAACTTTGCTAAGATAGTCATAAAGTCATATTTAAAGATTTTTTTACAGATACATAGTTGAGTTTAAAAGGCAGATAAATTCTGGAACCTTAAATTAGAGGGAGTGGTTTCTTCCATGTTACTAACACATTTATCACGCAGACAAGATTCTATAACTCCATAATTTAAATGCAAAATCCGCGGGTATAAAGTAGCTTCTTAAAAGTAATGAAAAATATAATTTATTTTAGACGCAGCATGATCGTATTCGCTTACTGAGGCAAGGGATGTATTTTTCGATTTGCATGGGTGTTGCTTATAATTGAACAGCCGAAACTTAACGTTACTTGATGCCACGTCGAAATCTGTTTCATTTTGATTCTCTAAATTCTACGTTCCGTTAAGTTAAGTTAAGTTACCATAATCAAGCTTCTAGAATACTCTAATTGCGGTCAACGGCAGTTAGAAAGAGGAGAGGGACTGAGAAATTGTTCTTCGGAATGTGACTACTTTTTTTAATTTTCTTAAAATTTTGCAAAATTTAATTTCGGCCACCTAGATCGTTCTAATATACAATGCGTCCGTGGAACACGGTGATGGTAGGCCATCTTCAAACCATAGCAAATAAGCAGATCTATTTCCCTCGGGCGCGCCGTATTATAGCCAGTGTTGCCAACTTTTGATTTTCAAAAAGCACCAAAAACTTGAAAAAAAGCGTTTTACCACACTAAAAGCACCAAATTTCTTTGAATCAAGGGATGCTTTTTTTATAACATAATACCGAAGTACTGCACATTAAAACTGGTATATCTCGAGGAAGCAAAATCGAATCGCATCAAACGAAAATGATGCCCTAATTAGAAATGAGCAAATAATTTGATGTTTTCATTATATAACCTCAAATATCGCTAAAAGCCGTGTTTTTGGCTCTTTGAGGTTAGGATATCTCTAAATTCTAGTGCTAGAGCAATTGTGAGGCCAGATTTGGATTCAGCACCAAGAAACGATGTGTTTTACTCAGGTGGTAAAAAAAAAATTGTACAAATAATTAGAAAAGAAAAAAAGAAATACTTAACTTATTTGCTTACTAGCATTTTCAACGCGAATAGAATTTAACAGGGTGGGTTTGCAACTTCAGATTTTTATCAATCATGGTTGTATTTGAGTCCATTTAAATTTGTAGACTCTTGTAAATTCAGTGCTGCCACAGCCTTAAATATTCCAAATTATTTCAGGTTTTAACAATCTCGAAGTAATTTTAGTTAAAAAAGCACTAAAAAAGGCACTAGGCACTAAATAATTTTTTTTTGGCGTTTTAATTTTCAAAAAGCACTAAATCTAGTGCTTAATGCACCAAGTTGGCAACTATAATTATAGCTAATACAAATTCGTTTCAGCACGCTGACCTCTTGTTAATTCCAAAATATCGAACACATTCTTGCTCTATATGAGAGTATCCTCCGTACAATAATAAGTGCCCATCTACATATTCATTAAGGCTTTGCAATTTTACACTTCCCTTCCTATAAATCAACTATGTACGTATAATCAAAACGTTTCTAACGATTGCCACAAAGACTTCGGCAGGGTTTGGTAACTGGTCACTAAAACAAAAACAACGAACTTTAACGAGCGAAGACTTTAAGGGGATCTAATCCACAACTCTGCATTAAAACGGATCAATATCACGATCTATGCCCTAATTGGGTACCAGTGCCGAAGTCGATTAGCCACTCAACTAACCCACAAAGTGTGAATTATTTATGCACATTTAATTTTGGCCATCGATAAGAGGAAAACTTTCAAGTTGTTAAGTTACGTTTACGTTGGCATAGATTTAAATTTAAAGGAGCACAGACAAACTCATACACACATACACATCCATGAAAATAAGAAAGGCTTCCTTCTATTGTCTTATTCATTTGTTTAGTATTTACTTTTACTGTATTGCCATTGCGATTACTTGCAATTACCACAAGAAAGTGCAACGAAAATTGGCCACTTAACACTTTTCAGCAAAACCAACAACAATAATGCTCCAAAATAAATACAACTTTTCTTTTCTTATCCAACAAACAAGCAAAGGAAAAAACCAATAACTACTTAAAACCACAACTGTGCCAAAATATACAGTGAAATTGTTGAGGTGTTCAGGAATCATTTTAAGATAAGTGTTAGAAGTGTGGAGTAAGGGCAACTCCTGCATTCAACACAAGCATACATACATACGTACCTTTTTGAGTGGCGGCCGTGACCTAATGAACTCCAATATCAAAGCGTGGGCATCTTTCTTCACACGCGGCGGAATATCGCCATTCACCATTACCTTGCGCAGTTGGTACTTTCTAGAGATAAAATTACAAAAAAAGAAGCAATCGATGAAAAATAGACAGAAATTGTTTGTAGAGGGCAGTTGAAAGCAATAAAAGTAATAATTTAGCAGTTTGCCAATGCGATTGTGGGAGAGGTGGAGGCAATATTGGGGTTCAAATTGCGAAAGGTAATAGGGAAGAAAATATAATATTTGCTAATTAAGTGCTAAGTCGCATAATTTTGAAAGGCTTAACCTCTCCACCACCTGTCTACCAGCGGTTGGCACTTGGAAGTTGAATATTTAAATTTCCTAAAACCACCAAATCTAAGTACTTTTTCGGAAAATAAGGAATAGTTTCTCGAAATCAGTACTGGCTACAAACAATACACATAAAAAAGAAGTTGCCCTTACTTAGAACGAATGTCCTCCATAAGAATCTCATAGGGAGTCAACTCGTACTCTATCGGGGTGCGTGAGTAGTTGTTCTTCTTCAGACGAACGCCACGTCGCAGCTCATCGATCACTTGGACCCAGAAACGTGCCTGAAAATAAAACAAATTTTATTTTTTAATTATAGATTATTTGATTTTCTCGATGTAATTACTATGAAAGTAACTTTGAAACAAAACAAAAAATGTTAAAACATGCTTAATTTCCAGTGTGCGTTATATCAATTGTCATGAAAACGAGGAGCTGATAAATCTTTCGAATGTCGAAAAAAATGATGGTAACAAAAATTATTCCATTTACGCGCAGTTTTTGCAAACGTCGTTTTTTGCTCTACATGTAATTTCTACGAAATGAATATGAGAAGAAATGTATATTTTCACATGCAGAAAGTTGTTTTTGTAAAAAATTTATGTTTAGAAGAAAACAGTGAAGCTTAAAAAACACGTACTTGTAGCGCCCTCCAAATTTCCAGTTCATGCTTTATTTTCGGGAAAAGTATTAAAAAATATTTTTATTAGTCATAAAGTTTGGTCTGCTTACTTATTAATGGACTGAAGAAATGAAAATTATTACAAAATTTCAAAACTAGGCCGCGAAAACAATTTGTTGTAGGTGGAATATGATTTAACCCACTTAATCATTTATTTCAAAGATGCAATTTTGAAACTGTAATAGGTCTTTCGTCAGACCCGTTATATGCTACACAATATGGCACGAAATGTGGTACATCAACATACAAGTGATTCGTTTACGAGATACATGATTAACCCAGTGGAGGAGTTTGGGAAAAGTAGGTATTGTTGCAAAGGTCACAACCACGATAAATAGGAAAGGTCACATGCGGTCCCTTTTTTAAATGAAACTGATACGCAGATTGCTGGCGTTTGGAAAGAGCGTGTCTTCATAAAGGACTGCATTATGTTCTTGCTCTATTCCACGTTATTTTAGCTATCGTGCATATAGTAGTGCCTTCGCCCGAATGGTTGTTGATTAAGGCTGAGGTGACCGCCATCCAACTCCGATGGGGGAGGAAAAGCAAGAACCACGTAGGACCTGCGTAGTCTACAGCTGCCATATAGAGAGATGTTGGATTCTGGGGCGAAAGAGAGACTTCGGCGTTAAGTACTGTCGTTGACCCCAGTGGACAAGCGCCTCGCCCTAATCCGCAATAATTAATTAATTTGTGCCCAAACCCAGAGTGAAGAAAAAGGCGAGTTCTCGAAAGTTCTCTTCTTAAAGCTTAAACAGACGACAGCGTTGATCCGGACTAACTCCGACTTAATCAGGATCAACTGCAGTTAATTCCCGAGTTGATCCGGATCAACGTTGCCGTCTGTTTATGCTTTAAGAGTGCATGGAGCGCACCTAAAGGCGCTGCGCCTCATGATATCAAAAACGTGCTAAGCGCTTTCAATGTCAGGAGGAAGAAGAATGGGATTGGAAAATTCAACCTCTATAACGAATCTTTCGATAACAAATAGAGGCTGATCGACATTGTAGGGACTCTAATAGCGTTTTCTTTTCTCGAAATAATGTGGCATTTATTCTGCCCTGCGCAAAGGTTGTCAAGCTTTCGTGTTCCTTTCTCAGTATCTTCCATGCATACTGCGTTCTCTTTCTTTAAAATGTTGCACCCTGATAATGTTGCCTTACAAAATGGTGACATTTTTTTCAAGAAAATAAAACGCCATAAATATGTCACCAGAAAAAATTTCCGTAATCCCTTCTCAAGTTTGGTTTGCACACAAACCGGTTTCGACGTTGCGCCATTTTCAGTGCAATTTTTCGTTCGATGAGGAATATTCGATAGAAAGGCTCTGCGTGGGCGACGGTAAATAGCGTAAACGACGGTGCGATACAGCGGCTCCTCTAGCTTGGCCATGCCGTACGAATGGACAAAAACGAGTTTTTCTCACATTTGATGTTTAATCTTTCGGTAAACAAGCGTTTAGATCAAATGCTTGTTTTGAAAACTGAAGAAAGAAAAACTGAAACACCATATGTCACAGTGATCAAAGCATAAAATCGCATCAGCAACGAAATGCCACAAAAACCTCGATCGTTAGAACTTCAGTTGCATGCGGAATAGTGCGAGAATAATCAATTTATACATATATGTACGTTTGTAAACAAAAGCGATGTGTTAACATCGACGCGCACAGAATGAAAAGAGAAACAGAACCATAAAGAAAACTGAAAAAGTAAAAAGAACCAAAATAATTGCGTAATTTTGCACTTGTAGCCACGATTGCTGTCGCTCCGTTGTCGTAGCCCAAATCGCACCCATCTTCGATAGACGCAAGCAGCAATTACCGTAAATCAGCGGGCGGCTAACGATTTTGGGCCGACAGCTATCAACTTCTCGGCATTGCTTTCTATAGATGAAGAAGATCCCAGTCTCGCACGTTACCAAAGCTACTCCTTGCATTGGCAACTGCAAATTACAAGTAACCGCAGCAAAAGCAGCAACAACAACAGTGGCAGCCGAATAAATGAAATCGAAATCGCCACATTAATTAACGTCACGCAAACACAAAGTTGCATATATGTATATACATATGGTGCGCGCACGGCACACGCCCACTTTCTGCACCGCGCCATGCCACAAGCAGACGCGCGCACACCAGGGTTACACGGCCATTGCAAAATTGCTCCGCGTTTCGCACAATTGCTTTGACATTTCGACTTTCACTTGCAACACGCTGATTATTGTGTTGTGCACTGCAAGTGCGATCAGCAGCGCTGTGTGGCTGTGCGGTCGTCAGGTTGTGCCGTGCTGTCGTAGTTGCTGCATGCTTGGCCTTTTGCCGGTGGCATTGTTTACGTTGCCTTACTCTCACGCAGATCCTTTCATTGGTGATAAATTCATGAAAAATTGTGTTGCGCGCATTTTTCACCTTTTTTGCATTATTTATTTTTTTATTTTTTGCTGCAAGGTCTTAAAATATCGAATTGTTTTGGTGTATTTTGGTTGCGGGGGCAAGAGTGTTTATACGTTTATATTCGTAATTTTTGCAGCCGATATTTGCTTGCAATTAATAATAAGTTGCAACATGTGGTTTTGCTTTGACTTTGTTGTAAATTATTAATGTTTTTGTGTTGTTGTGGGGGACAAGTAAACAATTTTTTGTGTAGTTAAAGAAAAAAGTATTATTTTGATATGCGTATCTTATGTCTTCATAAAGTGACATTTACGATGATGATCAGAGTCGCTTAAGTGAATGAGGATCTTTTGCGATTACTTCATATTTATGCATGTATGTATGTATGTATGTATGTATGACTGCATGCACCCAAGTGGCATATTAAGGAAGAATGAATGTTTTAATTATAATTAATGATAAGTACATATTTAGTTATCAGATAAAATACTGTCGAATTTTAACTGAAATTATAAATCGTAAAACTCCGTATTAAACGATTCTCGAAAAGTGTTACAGAGGTATACTATTTGGGTAAGTTTTTAAGTATAGGTATGTCCGTTGAGTTCTGATTAAATATTTCAGGTTCTAAAACTTCATGAGCTGCTTTCTCGAAATTCAACAAATAAAAGGTTTGCTAGATACCTAAATTTTGAAAAAAAAAACAAAAAAAACGACCGCCAAACTTGATTTGGGAAGGCTAATAACCTACTTCATGCTTCTTCTTTTTATTTGGTACTACAACCGTTTGCCGGTTCGGGCCGAGACCAAAAAATTTCACCAATTGCCCCTCTCCTTTGCAAAGTTCCGATAGTTGTCTAACCCAAAAGCAGAAAGGTACTGATTTTTCCATTGTGTTCGCTGATGCCCTTGCTTTCCTTGTCCAACCATGCATACCCAGTCAAAGTCTCCTTTCACCCGAGTAGCGTCATCCATGTGTACAACACTATGCCCTGGTCATTAAAAACTCATAAAATTCATCATTCCGAGGAGGAGTGGATTATTTAAATAGGATTGGGGGTCGGGTTGCGAAAGTTTTCGGCTATGTGTTGAGACTGCAACAATATCAAAAATATAATTTTGACTTTAACCTATAAAAAAAAAATTAAAAACTCCGCCAAAAAATGTTACGTTAGTGGTCGCATGGGGCCAGCACTAAAGAGAGTAGCAACACATGTGTACATGCCGATGTTCTGGTAGTGACTAATTTACGTACACCGCGGGGAGTTACGCAACTAGAAAGAGCACGAGCAAGCTCCAAGCACTCCAAGACATTTTTTTTTCAACTTGAAATGGCCTTGACCCCATGCGCATAATTAAGGGTTAAAGAACGGAGCGGTCCGGTTCTTACAAGAACCGAAAAGCGAACTGTGCCTAAACCCGATTCCAAAGGCCCAAAAAATGGTTCTGGTAGGACCGAAAATCGGCCCCAAATTCGGCTTGTGTACGTATTATGGAGTTCTGAGTTGACCTACCAAATTTTTTTGGTTCAAGGCATATAGCCGCCATATAACTGACTACATAAACTTCGTTGTTTTTGTTGCTACCGACTTGAAATTCGGTTTGTGTAAGTACATATCGATACCTGAGTGGAAGATCCAGCCAGTTCGAAAACTCCCTATCTCAGAGAACTTTTCAAGAACGCCCTACTTACGAATTTTAGGTCAACTGAAAATTCAGGGATAAGGCATTCTTCAACCAAATTCTGAGATGGACCGTTCATCAACCAAGTTATGAAATATGGCGTTTTTGAAAAGTTTTCTGAGATAGGGCGTTTTCTAACTGGCTGCCGAGGTAGGTCGATCTTCCATTTAGGTGTCGGTATTATGGAGTTCTGAGTTCATGTTTTAAAAGGAAACATTACTTTGTTTTAATTGAAACCTTAACGAGGAAAAGCATACTTAAATTTTGTTTAATGTATTTTATTTTTATAAAACTTTTCTCACATAAGGATCAGCTAAGGAATGAATATAATGTACATATGAATGTATTTATTTTCTTTTCTTCACTTTATAACAATAATATAAAATGAAATGAAAATTTTGTAAAATCTTTTTAAAATCTGTTGTTAAGGAACAGCACTACTATTTATGCTTTCGCTTCGCGTTGAAATTTTTGATTTTCATTCGAACTCCTTTGCTTTCGCTGTGACTTTGAAAATTGTATTTTGC